TTTTTTATGGCTGCTTCCATCACTCACCTGCAAAGGCTTTGGAGATCCGCTCCTTCTTCCACTCCCAAGGCTGGTCATACTCCTCTGGTGGCCGCTCATCGTCCTCAGGCAGCCGGGACTCCCTGGGCCTGGGGCAAGCCGGGAGATCACCATCCGCATCCAGCCCTCCAAGCACAGGCTCATAAGGAGTGTCGTAGAGGTGCAGCGGCCGGCCAGGAGCCTCCCGTAGGCCTTTCTGGCGGATTTCTATCCACAGAAGAGGGAAAAGACCATAAGCTTTTTGTCCACTACTGACATGGTCTGCTTGATGAAAAGGCTGGAGCTCCTCTCCTATGAAGAGAGGCTAAGAGAGTTGGGGCTGTTCAGCCTAGAAAAGAGAAGGCTCTAGTGCCTGAAGGGGCTCCAGGAAAGCTGGGGAGGGACTCTGGACAAGGGCAGGGAAGGATGGGAAAAGGGGAATGGTTTCAAGCTGCAAGAGCAGAGACTCAGATGAGACATTAGGAAGAAATTATTTATTGTGAGTGTGGTGAGACATGGAAACAGGTTGCCCAGGGAAGCTGTGGAAGTCCATCCCTGGAAGTGTTCAAGTCCAGGTTGGATGGGGCTTGAAGCAACTTGGTCTAGTGGGAGGTGTCCCTGTTCATGGCAGAGGAGTTCAAACTAAATGATCTTTAATGTCCTTTTCCCATCCAAACCAGTCTGGGATTCTATGGTTTCACTCAAGTGTGAAAGCAGAAGTGACTTGCTTCAGCAAGTCACTGAAGCAGGACCAAGCAGGGCGGGGCAGGGCAGAGAGCATCAGCAATGGAGCAGACCCCCAAAACTCCAGCAAGCACCTGCCAGAAGTGGGGCAGCTGCTGGGCTGCCAGGTCCTGAGCAGCACCAAGACACGTTCCCCCCACGTGGTACAACATCCCCACTCTCAATCAGCACTGCCAAGCAGGGTTCATGGGGACAGAGCATCCCAGAGCCTGATTCCCTGTGAGCAATGAGACCAGGTTTCTTCTCTGGACACCCTGTGTGGCTAGTATAATAAAATACCCTTCCTTAAAGCAAAACAAAAGCCTTTCCCACAGACTTAAGCACCCTCTTCACCACTTGCCAGCTATTCCAAGAAATGCTATGCCCTCCTCCAAAAAGCTGCGTGAACTTTTCAGAAACCCCTTGCTCCAGGAAAACCATGGGGCTGCACAGCAGAGCCAGAGCCTGGAGCACACACGGCGACCCTGTGTGTGCCGAAAGGTATAAGCAATGCCTTTGGGATTGGGCTCCCACCCTGCCTGCTTCTCTGCCATCAACAAGCCCACCAGAGACCCTGCAGCAGAAAATGGCACACTCTGGCCCAGTCCTAACTCAGTTAAATATCTCCCACATCCATCTTAGTTTTATGCCAGATGCATGAAATGTCAGGTCCCTCCTGGCTCAGTCTGGCACGCAGTCACTATGGTCTGGGGGGCAGCACCACAGGCAGGAATTGCAGAGTGCCTTTATGGCTCAGGGAGCCTTTGTGAGTACTCTGGCTCTGGTTGAGCCTGTAGCACATGGCTGCTAAAGCTGTGAAAATCTGCCTGCGAAGTGGCTCTGCACCACCACGGCCATTGCCCGGGTTTGCCTTGTCTGGGGGGCCTGATAAGGCCTTCTATCTTACCAGCCATCATCTTCTGGGCTTCATAGGGCTCCATGTATCCATCATTCTCTGTCACCTTCTCCAGCTCTGACTGGCTACCAGTCACCTGTGCCGCATCAAAGGGATCAGCGTAGTCCTCCAAGACAGCCAGCTAGAAGAGGGGAAGGGTAGGAGAAAGGTTAGGGTACTCCCTGCAGATTTTGGGGGTCAGGGACCAGTTGAAGACTCTCAAAACCTCACCATGAGCTCTGCTAGCAGCAGCCAGGACCCTAAGCATGCACCATGACAGCCCCACAGAGCAGGGGCTGGCAGCCAGCAACTTTCCAGGCACCAGTGCTTGGCCATGGAAACGCTCCAGCCTTTGTCCCGAAAGCTGGGGAAGAGCCAAGCAGAGCAGAAGGTGGCCTGGCTTCCTCCCTTACCAGGGGCTCAGTGCTGCCAGCACCTGCACAGATGCCCCAGTGAGGTCCCTGGCACTGTGCGGGGCTGCTGGCAGTGCCACCCCACCCATGGCACACAGCTGGCCCTGATGCAGCCACATTTCCTCACCTGAGGCAGAGAAGGGGCACAAGTCCCATTACAGGGGTGTCGGCTGGCACTGGCATTACTGGGAACTCACTGGTTACTTTCCAGAGGACCTGCAGGCTCAATTGATGACGTTTCTTAACAAAATGGCAAAGAAAAGCCTATGGCTTCTCTCTGCTCCCTCCCAAGCTGCTGCAGCATCCCCATAAGCATCCCAAGTAACACAAGACAGGGCTCCTCCGTGTGATCAAGAGTCACTGGGAAGCAGGACCAAGAGCCACATCACAGGGATGGCACCAAAAGTCCAAGGTTTCCCCTTACTAGCAAAAAGAAGACAATCCTGCTGTAGGATATGAGGCATGTCCCAGAACTTGATCCCCTCCAGCGCTGAAGACACACACCTGCTCTAGCACCTCAGCAGCTACCTAGCAGGAGCACCCCATCGTGTGACACCATGACCCCCAGCAAGCCTGGAGCCACGCACTCTACTTCCAGCCTGAAAGCCAGGTCCCCAGTCAAGGCCAGGTGATATATCCAGCAAGATTCAAGTGCATCCAAGCACCTTTGCCAAGGTGTGCTCACCCACCAGGCAGCAAACCCCAGGCTGGACCATGTGGCAGGATGGGTTTGGCCTTCACAACGCTGGCTACACAAGGCTCCTACAGCAAGGACCAGGTGCCTAATCCCACCCAGTGCCAGGCTCTGTCCTCACTGTCACACTGTCCCTGCTCCGTTCACACATTCCTCTCTGGCTTCCACAATTGGCTTAAAAAAAACACAACAAAAACATTTCTTCCACCTTCCTGTGCAAAATACCCAACAATAGCCTTGAGCAGCAAAACCCAGCAGGAAAAGGGAACAGGAACTGGAGCTGTAAACAGCTCCACACAGCCCCGAGCTCTTGCATCCCTCCCAGCTGCAGGGAAGAACGCAGCTCCCTGTACCCTGGCTCACCAGCTCCTCCATAAATGTCCCAGCTCCAGGCTCCCCAGGTGGCTGAGGCCACAGGGCATGGGACAGGTCACCAAGCCCAGCTCCTCTGTAATGGGGTGCAATTGAGTGTAAAAGCATCATCCCCAGAGCAAAGCCTGCATGCTGCAGGGCTCACAGCCACCCTGGACAAGTGCAAAGGGGATTCAAACGTGGGAGCAAGCAGACACCTGCATCCCTCAGCATGGCAGCAGGAGGACAAACCACTGCTCAGGGTACTGGCCTCTGCCATTGAGAGGGAAAGTGCAAAGTCTCCCACCAGCTCTGCAGGCAGGGCCTGGAACCAGTGAGCCAGAACAGGGCTGCAGGAACAGCCAGCCCCTGGCTTTGCAGCAGGATATAGAAATTCTGCACTCACATCCATTATCCAAGGGAGATGTGGCATTGCTTGGCTCCCATGGGCATCAGGGGCATCAAGGGGCAACACTGAGCCCAGGGGCTGCTGACCCTCGCTTGCCACCACTGGGGCAAAAACTTCCAGGAAAATCAAAGTGACTTTTGCAGCTGCTCAGTCACTGGGACCTGACCTAAGGCTTGCAGGGCTGGGAGATGAGTGACAGCTACTGCCAATTCACTGCAGGAAGCCCCTCTCCAAGGCAAAGAGGGGCTCAGCCTGCGGCAGGCAAGTGCTTCCAACTCGCTGTCTGCGAGATACTGAGGGCAGATTCCAAAGAGCCAGGAAATCCCATGGGCTGCACCCACACCTCGGAAAGCTTAAAAGAGGCCTTTGCTCCACCACAATGACATCTGCAGAGCGCAGCCCCGCACTGGTGACAGCTCATTTGCACACAGGCTAGTGCCAAGGGACACCCAAGCTGTTTATCCCGGCACGCACACACACATTGAACCAAGCCCAGCCTGCATCCAAACCTGCCGTAAGCCTCTCTTCCAAGATGCATTTTGCTAGAGACACAGACCCAGCTTGCTGCTGGTGCTAGTCTTGGACCCTCCCTTTCCCACCCCATGAACACAGAGCAGCTTCACACAAGATAGGGCATCAGCATAGCAGCTCAGCAGGCAAGAGGCTCCTCCACATGCAGCCGTCACGCTTCTCAACTAGCAGAAATATGGAGCAAATTCCATACTTCCTTGGGTCTGGCTTTCCAGCAAGGGATGTTTGAGTCCCAACAAGCTCAGAGTGGCCCCCATTCAGATACCTCCAGCTCTGGGTCTAGAAAGCAGAGGATGGTGGAGTATCCTAACACATCTCAGTTGAAACCCCTAAACCCAGGTATTTTGCTGACAGGGGGTGCAGAGGTGCTTAGCAGCAATTAGATGGACTTTGCACAAGCAAGATGTGGTTTGCTGGGCCTAGCTTGGACCCAGAGCCAATGCCTCCTACCAGGGCTTGAGTCTCTAAGCTCTCTAGGTCTGGTGGGGGTTTGCCACATTGGCTTTTTAAACAGTGTGATGCTACAGCAATGACAAGAACCACAGAAAAACCAGGAAGGCAATGCCTGTCTCCAGGGGTGTTGCAACCTCAGGATGCAAAATCAAGCAAGCGAGAATGGTATCTCAAGCCCTGGGGCTGGAGGCTCCAGACAGTGCCAGGGATAAGGCAAGGCCCTCAGAGAGCAAACAGCAGGGATCACAGTTACCAATCACATTCTAATGCCCTTGCACAGGAGGCCGAATTAAGGTTGCCCAGGAAACTGTATCTCTGACATCTCCCAGTCCAAGTGCTGGACTACATGAGCCACATGGGGCTCCCTGCAGCAGCCATGGTGCACGCAGCTGCTCCCCAGTGCAGGAGGAGACTGCAGCACCGGCTGAGAAGCTCCCAGGGGAGCCTCAGACACCCCCAGTTGGGTTAAAAGCCAGGCACTTCCACACCTCCCACATCGCAGAGGAAGCTGCTCACACACGGCTGATCCCAGCACACCGCACTGCTTGGATGCCCGATCACCAAGGGCATCACCTGCTCACACACAGCACAAGTGTCTTTTGAAATAATTCAGGTGCAAAGCATGTGCCTGACATGGAAAGCCACTGACAGGGGTTAGCTCTTGGTGCAGGGCAGTCCTTCAGAAGGGCCATTGGGTACCACTGACACTAGGACACACGTCCTCTTTGTGCACAAGTGTTTTTCATGCATTTCTCTGCCGTGGCAATGCCCATCCAGGGCCTTGCTGCTGTACTGAGGCCAGTCTTGCTCTAGGATTTATGCCAACTGTAAGAAAAAAAAGAAGACCAAAAGAAAATTAAGGTGAAGGGCCAGATCATCACCGGGTTCTCACAGTGAAACAGTTTTTATGCTGCCCACCAAGGAAGGTGAGAGACAACAGCTCTCCAAGAGAGTTCACAGTCCAGACATCAATATCCTAAGGCCGAGATGGGGGTCTTCACCCCATCTTGTCTACACATGTTCTACCAGCCACCACAAGATGTTCTGCTCTATAAAGAGGTCTCAAGAGGACATCTGGGGAGATCCTTCACTTTCTAAGCAAGTTTCTTGCCCCAGAAATAAAGCATGGTCCCCCCAGGAGATCGCCATTTTTCACTCTGGAGCCATTCTGAGTTACAATCCAACTCAGTTTGCTCTCTGTTGGGTGCATGATTTCCCCAGTTTCACCCATCTTGCAGCTGGGCTTTTGGCAGACACTGAAGCCAAACTCAAAAGCCAACCCAGCCCTGACCTTCCAGGAAGGGTCCAGTCCCTGCCCCAGCGGGCTAACTGGGCCAAGCCGGGAGCCCATGGCAGGGCTCACAGCACAGGAGGAGGAACATGGGGCAGACAGCACAGCACCACACAGGATGACTCAGTTTGGGGAGGCTCTTGCAGGAAAGACACACACCCAAGAGCTTCCTGGCCAGCCATTCCCACACCCTGCATAGCTGACCCTGCAAAAATGTCAAGGACTAGGCCCGGTGGGCATGAGACAAAGTCCTCCTCGAGCACATCCCCAACCGTGTCCCCAAGTATGCTGTGCCCTAGGTGCAGGCATCCCCATGCAGGGATGTCCCTCACTGTATCTTTCCCCACTGCAGCCAGGTGGCATTGCTTCTCATGCCTAATACAAACGCAGCAGAGAAGACATCTCCAGGATATCCGCCTGGCTTAGGTGAGCCATACAGGGCCAGTCTGTTGTCCACTGCTGCAGGAGGACTTCCCAGACCAAGCAGATGGAGAAGGACCATAGTTCCCACCGTGTTCAGCAAGCAGTAATGCAGCAAGGGACACTGCAGAGCTCACTCTAAGCCCATCCCTGTCCCTGCTCATGCAGGGGAGGTTGGAACTAGATGATCTTTAAGGTCCCTTCCAACCCAAACCATTCTATGATTCTATGACCCCCACAAGATATTGCAGATCCCTCAAAAGGCAGAAAGATGCGATGAATGATGCTACAGTGGCAAAGCATTGTGTGGCCCAGGCAGGAAAGATGCCATTGTGAAGATGTTCCAGCCCTGTTGTCAGTTCTCCAGAAGGGGCAGGTCAGCTGCAGTGGGCACAAGGCCCTGGAAATACACAGTCAGTCCCCTGACCTCAGCACAGCACCTGTACCACAAACCGCACAGCCTTGGCCACACCGCACAACCAGGAACTCGCAGCTGCTCCTTCCACTACTTCCCATCCTTGTCCTCCCCACTCAGGAGGGCACTACATTTTCTTTGAGTGTTTTTCACTGTCAG